ATTTCTACAATTGGTATTCTCATAATAATCCTCAAATTTTGGTATAATATTTTTTTATAAAAAATAATTATTGAGAAATCTTCCAATATCTAAGTAGGTTCTTAAGAATTATTTTTACTTAGGAGTATTAGCTTTTATTAAAAACAACTTTTGAAAATCACCATTTATTAATTTACATATTGTTTTGACAATGATAAAATACAAGCAATGTAACATAATGCAAATAAATGATGCAAACATAAATTAAAATATGCAAATTACCAATTTAATTCCATTTAACTTTATCTTTTTTTTTTTTATCTTTTGTTTTAAAAAATATTTAATGATAAAAAAATTTTATTTATTATTATTTGTTATTGTTATTATTATTATTCTATGTTGAAAATTTTTCTTTTATTCCTTAATATCTAGATGAAATTTAAGAAAATTAATTTTTCTTTTTAAGAATTCTCATAATTAGTTTTGATAAAAATGAAAATAATGTTCCTTAACAAAATATTATTTGAATTTCTTTCAATATTTAAGCAGGATCTCCAAAATTATTTTTTGAAACATTATTCCAGTTTTCCTACAATTTTTTTAAAATTGATAACTTTCTATTTCACATTTATTATTAATGCATAAAGTGCATATATGACAATATGAACATTAATTAAATAAGGCATGTAATTATATTTCTTTTCTAAATAAATTTATTCAAGATGAAAATGGCATTTTTCATACTAAAACATTCAATTTTTATTTCTTATATATATTTAATTTTCTAATATCTAGATAGAATTAAAAAATTGGTCTTTCATTTGAAATTTACAATTTTAATTTTTTTAAAAAAAGACAATATTTCTTTGCAAAAATAATCATTTTAATTCTCTTTAATATTTAGGTAAGGATTCCAAAATCATATTTTTACTTAGAGATATTATCTTATTTTATTTTTGAAGACCATCTTTTAACAATTATCACAAAATTACAATTCTTTTTTATTTTCTTATAAAAAACTTCAATCAATCCAAAAATAAATTTATTTTCAAAATGTTCAACACTAAATAAACATAAAAAAAACTAAAATAATACAAAAAAATAAAAGGAAAAGAGATTATACCAAACTATAATTTTGGGATTGAACCAAAATTGTTGAACTAGACACTCTATGGAAGGGGTCTAGGGTCAAATCTAAAAAGTCCAACACAACAACAATGGACCGGGTCGGGGTAAAGGATGCAGTAGGCTAGTCGGATCACGGGTCAGTGGGTCAAGTTGGTTTGATCCATTTCTCCTTTCTTTTCTTTAAACCATGCCCCAAGTTTGACTTTTCAAACCCTTTTTTTTTATTTTTCTTTCTTTTTTTCTTCTCTTTGTTTTCCCCTTTTTTTTTTCGTACATCGAACTAGGTTGTCTTTCTCCTATTTTTGGCTATCGATTTCTCCCTCTTTTCTCATTTTTTTCTCTTTTTTCTTCGTTTTCTTCTTGTTTCCTTTCTTCTCTCTTTCTTTTCCTTCTCTTCTCTTTTCTTTATTCTCTGTCTATCGAACACCAATCCCTCTCTTTTTTTTCTTCCTTCTTTCCTTCTTTTTTTTTCATTCTTCTTTTTTTTTCTCTTTTTTTCCTTTTTTTTTCTTTTCTTTCTTCCAGTTTTTTCTTTTAGCCAAATACTACCTCTTCTTTTTTTTTTTGGGTTTTTAAAATTTTTTTTTATTGATTAGGCTCCTTATTGAATGATTTCTTTTATTTTGTTAGTTGTAACAAGTTTCAGGTAAGGGGTGGATTTGGTTTATAGAAACGTTAGGATTTTGCAATTGGGTTAGACTCAAGGGCGATTAAGGTCAATTTTTGGTGATGGTGAAGTTGGCTATAGGTGGTAGGTAGTCTCCGCTTATGAGGGAAGGTGGAAATAAAGGCTATTTTAAGGCTTTGCAAAAGTCAATAGGCAGTGGGCAAGGGTGATGGTACATTGGTTTCAATAAGAGGTCAAGGCTACTAGTGGTGATCTAAGTTAGCGAATAGTGGGGCAGTAGGGAGTCTCGAATTGGTGGTGGTGGTACAAGGTGGACCTTGGTGAAGGTTTGGTCAATCAGGGGCTGGGATTTTTTATGTGGGTTTCGACGTTGTAAAGGTAATGAAGGTTGGTGATTTTTGAATGGTTGTTGGCGGCTTTTGGTTCATAAGTTGTAATGGGCACTGTTTCTTGATTTGGCTAGGTGGTTAAGGTGAGGGGTTGTGGTAAAGTTTGTGGGATTTTTCTTTGCCAAATTTTTGTTGTGTAGTAAATCCTGTCTGTGTAAGTTTCTTGGGTTCTTGTAGAACCACAATTCATATAAGACACAAAAATTATATTAGTTTATAGAGTTGTAGTAGCAAATGCAGCATTTGGGATGATATAGCTTGCACATTTTAGGATACTAGGTCTATGAAAGATTGGTGGTAAGGATCGAAGGGTAAATTATAAGGAAAAATTAGAGAGTTGGAGATAAAAATTGTAAAATTCTAGATTTCGAATGAAGAAAAAGTTAGTGGGGAGACTGACAACCAAATTCAACCTTTGAATTTTTTTGGTTTTTATTTTAATTTTTTAAATAATTAAAACCTATCAAAATGAAGCTAGGCTTTATTATTGATTTGGACTTTCATTGGGTTTTTCAAGCCTAAATGACTTAATCTTAATTGACTCAAAATTTAATTAGATTGGGCTTTGAAATAGAATATGGGCTTAGAATTAGACTCACATTGACCCTTAGGCCTTTTAATTGGTTTTGAACCCAAGTGATTGAATTTTGAATTTCAAAATGAAATTAGGTTGGATTTTTTGTTTATGCAAAACGATCCGAAAATGATTAATTCGAATCAAAATCCAAACAAACTCAATTATAACAATTAAGCTGGCTTAAATCGAAACATTTAAATCAAACATAAAAATCAAACAAATTCAAATTGACTAAAAAAAATTAGGTATTTACAATAATTCTTATGTTGTTCGAGAGAATTAAATATAATGAAGACATGTTAATAATAGGTACTTAAGTTAAGATATCTTCATTAATCCTTATAAGACTATTTTATTTTTGTCATTATTATTATTTGATACAGTCTTTATACTTGCAGAAATTACCCAATTAATATGGTTGCATTCTTGATGAAGTTCACTTATATAAGTGAAAATGGTGCCACTTATAGGATCATGTACTTGAATTTGAAACCACTCATGAAAATACATGATACAACCATTGAAATTATGTCAAAGCAAGGTTAAATGATGATTTGCTAGGATTTGAAATTTTGAATGTGATATTAATGTATGACTAGTCACTTAGATTGGTTGGTTTAAATATCTAAGATCTACTATTTAATTTAACTAACTCAACAACATTTTATCACTAAGGTTATGATTTTTGAAATCATGTTATATGATATCTTTACTTATGCATGAGATTTTCAAAAGTGCTGAAATTAGCCTTATTTTTAAAATAGGTGGTGGAAGGTTAAAAAATATTTTCAAAATATGAAAATATGACTAAGAAATTAACTTAATCAAATGGAAACATAGTTAACCTATAAAATGGTTTCAAGTAAAATCTTAAAAGTAAAAGATATGATTCTAAACTTAAAAGAATCATGTATGAAGATTATATAGGAAACCAGTCAACTACCATGCATAGAGTAATCGATTGCCTTAAACTTCCAAGAAGAGAGTCAATTACCAAGGGCATGGAGTAAACTGCTTTGTCAAGTAAAAGCTAAAAATAGATTTTGCATAAATAGTAGTCAATTACCAACCTAAAGCAATTGATTGCTATTTTTGGAAAGAAAGTGGAATTGATTCCACACCCTAGTGGAATCTACTATCATTGGTTGATAGTTTTTGGGGATTTGATCTATGCCACAAGCTGCCAACTATTATTGAAGAGGAGTCGACTGCTTTATATGAGGTCAAATGCATAATCTTTTGGAAATTGCAAAAAATCAACTGCTCTCTAAATCAATTGGCTGCTCATGTGTTAAATGCATTTTGTATGAAGAAATGACTCAACTACTTTATAGAGAAATTGATTACCTTGCTATGGAAAGCATTTTGGAAATTGAAAATAAAAAGAGGCAGTCAACAATCTTCTTGGAGCAATTAATTGCTTTACATGAAAACTTACAATTTTTAGAAATATAAAAAACGGTTTCTTTTTGTTTGAAAATTTTAATTATTCGAATAAACAAATATGTTTGTAATATTTCAAAAAGACATTTATAATCACTGCATGAAAAACTACCATATATTGGCATTTCAAAACCATTGGTAAAACCCAAAAATCCATCGATGTAACACCATAAACCCTATACTATCAAAATATATATTTTGATGAATTTTTAGCTGTCAATATATCCTTTGTCAATAACCTGTACTAATAGGTTTTAAGGTGTCAAAATAGGTAGTAAAAATATAACAACGATTTGAAACCGTCAATATATGTAATGTCGTTGGTAAAGTATTTGTTGTGTACTCCATCTTAATATCTTTTATCGATGGTTATCTCTCATCAGTACAAACTTGTATGTTTTGATTTGTTCTACCTATAGCAACAAATTATCTAATATTATATTTATTACCAACTATCCATGCTCGTCAGTATAACTTTGTGTGTTTCGCCTATATCGATGATATGTTATGTTTTTTGACCAATGGTCAATGCCCATCAATATAGCTGACGTTATATTTTTTCCTTATACTGACAGTTAATCCGACACTAAATTTTGTTGACAATAAATGTTCATCAATATAGCTTTAAATATTCTATCATTAAAAAGCATCAATATAGATGTTAAGGCATCAGTAAAAACTTCTTTTTGAATTATATTTTCAATTATTAATATTAATGGTAAATTTTTTATAGAGAAATTATTTGATACATTGATAGTGAAATTTTTTAACTTCATAAGCAGGGCTAAGATAATGACATATGTCCCATTTATTTTTTAAAATAATTCTTTTAAAATATATAAAAGACATGTATCACCTTTTTAATCCCATTTGTGAAGTTAAAAAAACTCCACTATCTGTGTATCAAATAATTTCTCTTATTTATAATCCTAATCTGATATGGTTTCAAATAATAAAAAAACAAATACATAATAAATTACAAAATATTTAACAACATTTCAAATGAAAGTACAACTAAATTGTTTTGGAATCCACAAACTAATAATAAATCAAGATCTAAATCCATTGAACTAAGTTTAGATAAAAACAAACAATCATTAAATACAAAGAACTACCTAAAGTAAATAATCCTATCATAGATTTCTATGGAAAAGCATATGCATAAAATAAACAACACAATTAGATAATTAAGTTAAAAACAAAAAATTAAAGTAATTCTTAAAATGATTTGTACAAAACACTAAATAGCAAAACCAAAAGTCACTGTCTACACTACAAATTGAGTGGACATTATCCTAAAAAGGTAATTAGATCATGTTCTAGACATCATTGATTATGCTTTTATAGTGACAAATTAAAGCATGTAAAATTACACAACACAATCAACATAGTGCAAACATTCCTAATACTTAGTAAATTCATGCATAGGAAGAGACTTGCATTCATAAATAAAACCCTTACCATAACATGCATGTGTGCTCCAACATGACCTCCTGTTAGGGGTTGTAAGCAACCTATATGTTGAGACATGGTTAGTGACTGGTAAGCATGATTAATTTCAGGTAAGTGTGATGGTGGCCCACATTGATGCTTTTGGGGAAAATGAACTGCATGTTGGTTTTGGTGAACTGGTTGATGATGGTTTTGGTGAATAGGATGAAATTGAGATTGATGTGACATTGGTGGTATATGATGCTTGTAAGGAGTCTGCTATTGATTCTGCAATAATAACAGCAGTTTAGCAAAATCAGATACAAATACAACTTGCTGCAAACATACTCTTCAAAATAATTGTCCCCAATATCAGATTGAGTATATTTACAGGAGGTTCAATTCCCTAAAATAGGATTTCAGATTTAACTTGCAATCTAATCCATGGAAAGGTCCAGAATTCACATACAAATTCTTCTCTAAACTATTGTTTAGGATGTCTAAGTTTTCAACATACTACAAACATGTGTTTGAAATAGTGTTATCTCCTAGTCATTCTGATCCTTGAACATTAGGTTCAATACACACTTCTTTTTAGATGCTAGTACTTATAAACTGATTATCATTAATACTAATTGAATGTCTCAGTTCAAAGAAAATAAAAGTCCTAGAACAGAAAGCCTAAATAGAAACTCCAGGAAAGAGCTTATACTCATTTCACAGGGGAGCTCTTACTTCATTGATTGTGTGAAACCCTCAAACATTAGACACTGGAGAAGAACTATCAGTGCCAGAGAATGTCTACAAACATATACAACGTTAAAACAATATATCTCTGCAATCAACTTTAGTTGGTAAGGTTTACAGCAATGGTATGTTTAGTGCTTTATTATATTTCATATACAATCTTTTGAAACAATCCATCATGGGGCAAAAATAGAGAAATTTAACTTACAATAAGAGATGGAAAGAGGGAAAAAAACCTATAACATTACATGTAATCCTCAAATAGATAATGTATCATTAAAGTAAGTACTAGGTGGTTCTAAGTCATACTTCATAAGATGGATCTACACTCATAAATGCTAATGAGTTCTAAGGCACATTGAACATTACATTTACATAAAACATCCAACCTTATACTTCAAAGATTGATAATCAAGTTGGAGAAGAGGGTACAGAGTTTACAGGTAAAGTAGGGATGTTGGATACTGTGTTTGATGGAACACGCCTAAACTTATGCCTCAGAGAATAAAACTTATAGTCTCAAGCAGAGATAGCAAACTCATTCCAACCTGTTAGTCTTTTAAACCTTCAACAAATAGAAACCTAGTCAGAAAGAAGAATGCATATTGAAAAAATGTCTCTCAAAATCCTCAAAATCCAAATTTGTACATACATTCAGAGAAAGCAAATAAGTTGTAAATGCAACAAACAATACAATATTTTTCTAAAGAAAGGTTGGAGGTTGACTATTTTTTTTTTTTACTTATTGAGGCTAATATGTTGACCTGGATACTTCTATCCTAGGAAAATGTCTTGTAACAATATGAACTGCTTTTGCTAGCAAGGCTAGGGAGGTTGTTTATAAAGTATTAAATAGGTCAGCTAGCTAAGAAAATTGCACCTAGCTTAATACATAAATCAAAATTTTCTTGCAAGCACGAGCTTGATTATATGGATAAGCTCACTTGCTATTGTTGATTGTAGAAAAAACAATACAGTATAACTTGAAACTCTTTTCCACTTATTCATTTTATCAAATTTCCTCATGGAAGGGTGGCCAATTTAAAGCTAAAGTAAATGGTCAATATTTGACTTCTTTGAAAGTGGCTGTTCCAATGATTACTATAATTTAAACCTAAATTCATCCAAGTGGCTTTCTTTCCATGGTTCAGGCACTAAGCAATTGCCTATACATTTCAACAACTAAAATGGACTACCTTGAACTGCTTAGCGTTCTCCCATTGGCTGCTTCCATTCATAATACTGAAGGACAATAACACTTAAATCTTTCTTGATCATGTGGAGGAGCAACATTTATAAAAAAGCTATAGAATGTGGAAGGCCTCCTAACAATAAGAAGTCATACAAATCCGTGTGAGCCTAAGCCTACTACTAGCTTCTTGAAAAGCCAGAATATACTCAATGTAGAGTTGTAAGAAACATGCTCCGGTTGTGGTCTTTGCTCGAAGTGCCACCAACAAGGTGTAAAAAGTAGCTAGTTGAATATTTTGTTTGAAGAAGCAAAACTAGTCAAGGGTATTGGCACTGGTTTAATTACTACAACATCAAATATGTGATCAACCCTCTTTAGAAAAGGAAAAAAGCATCTATCCAATATCTTGTGCGGACAAGCATGAGCCATGGGAACCAACACTTAACACAAAAGTATCTATCAAATATATATCAACTATGTAAAGTTGTGCAGCTTCTATGAAACCAAATAATTAAAATTAATAGGAGAAACAAAATATTAACTATTAGTCTATAGGTTATCTACCTTAATTTAATTCCATTGTATCCAAGACATTCACCAAGCCCACCTGCAACAAGAACAAATGCAGCATTTTGGGCTTCTTTGATGCCTGCCTCCTCAAATTTGATGAAATTATCATCACCAAAAGAGATAATTTCTCCAGTTGGAACCTGCAAAAAATTATTTACTGTAAAAAAAGACAGTGAAGATAAGTACACGACACGGGGTAAAGAAAGCTTGATATTAATGCCAATTTACATTAATATGAATTATGTAAATTTAATACAATTGGATATTGATTGCATTATAAGAAATTGTAAAAAAATTAAAAGTTTTCAAAGTGAAAGACTGATTTTGTTACTGAAGGTGTAAAGCCATCATATGAGTTCTTCCCTGGTTTCGAGTCCGCTAAGAGCTCTCTGGTGGTTTTAATATAGGATGCCAAACCCCTTGGATGGATTGAATTTAGCTTAGCCATCTATAATTTTTTTTTTTTTAAAAAGTCCAATATATAAATAAAACTCTAAGATGTAATACTGAAAATTACTAGTACACAATTCAAACATATTCAAAATAGCATAAGGAAAGAAAAACAAAACGTACTCTTTTTATACCCTTAATTTTTCTTTTAAATCATAAGTTTATTGTATTTCCCCAAAAAAAATAAAAATCCAAATTTGATAATTAAATTTTTTAATAATAATTTCACAGCTTAAAAAACAGAGATAGAAACTTGAACGATAAAGGCTTTCTTTTGGTTGTACTCGACGCCAGGCTTTGCCCAATAATGAAACAAATGGCTCTATCCCATCTCCAACAACATCTTTGCCAATTCAATCTGCCAAAACAACAAAACAGAGCACATAATTCACATATTCGTATATCTATTCGTGTATATATATATATATATATATGACTTTTTTTTTAAAAAAAAAGGTACGCAATTTGAGAATGCAAGACATGATTCGGTGAAAGGAGGTGGAGATTCTTGAGAAGATTAGGAGGCCAATTTCTGGCGTCGATGTTGAGGTACCACTGAATGGCAATCGCCGAAGTCATTGTCGCTGGAATTGTAATTTTTGAAAAAAACAAAAGAAAACAAAGAAAAGTGTGAAAAAGAATTATTTGCCCTTTATTGAAGCTTAAATCAGGAAAATAAGACTTTCCATCATACTCTTTGGATGAGTAACACTTCATGAGCTATCGTCGATTTTGGTTGGGGCGACATTTGCCTTGGGTGAGGTTTAATAAAAAAGGAAAGTAGGACAACAGCGATAGTTTTTGATCTTCCCTTTCATCATCAACGATAGCTTCTAACGATTAGAGGAGATTTGCTAGAAATGGCACAACAGAGAGAATGATTTGAGAAGGATTGTCGGCAGCTAAAATAAAGAGAAAGTGTTCGGCTAAATGCTAACACATTCTTAAAATGAAAATAAACTGAGGATTATCAATATATAGGTGGAATTTGAAGATGGGGTATGGATGGTATTTGAAGATGCAGTACCAGTGGGAGGTGGAGAGAACTGGGAGGTTGTGAGAACGGAAAAGGGGAAAAGAGAACGGGAGCAGATGGAATTTAAGCCCCAACTTTCTTTTCCCAAACGTGGGCGGCTAATTTTTTTTTTTTTCTTTTTTTTAGCTTGTACTTATTATTATAAATAATTATTTGAATATAACTTATTTATATTAACGAATTTTTATATATTATTAAAAAATTTTATCTATATTGATGGATATTCATATACCATTAAAAAAATTTATCTATACCGGTGACTATACAAAATGTTGGTATAAGTAATATATATTTTGACAATATTAAAAATTCATCAATATAAATCTTTTTTACTGACATAATTAGATTGTCAGTGTAACTAAATGTCAGTATATGAAAAATTTCTTATAACGAATCAAAAGGTATTGATAATTGATCGAAATAACACAATCAAAAAGTCACAATCTTAAAATTCAATCCCTATAGTAAAGATTGATGTGAGTTCATTGTACATCCCATTGAATTATGAATTTCTCTCGTTGTTCTCCCATTTCTTTCTTACTTAATGGCAAGTTGGTTTAGTATTATTTATTGTACAAAACCTTACAAAGACAAGGTATTTTCATTTATACTAAGGTGTATTTAATGGTTTGTTATTCTAATGTAAAATGTAAACAAACAAGGCTTTTATTTTATTTTAGAAGAGCTTCGATTCACCCTTTTGAATACTATAACTAGTTATGGCAAAATAATGCTTAAGGAAAGTAACATTTGGAGCATACCTTAAAAACATTCCATTCATGATTGAAAGTCCATAATTGCTTATCTCCAACTATAACATAAGGAATCTACAAGAAGCTAACAAGTTCATATAACAATCAAGCTTTCACAAATTGCTTCATTTGTCCTTATAATATATTTATTTTCTAACATAACCAAATTAACCAACCAAAATGATTTAATTTAGTTAAATAGTTAATCACAAAACTAATTTCTATCAATTATCAAAAATGATTTTAAAGGAATTTTGGTTTTCATTTAATTCAATTCAAAGACTCAATTAATTGAAATTTTAATCGAAATATAAGAAACTCAAATATAAAACTAAAAATATATGAAACGATATTGCATTTTATAAATTGTTAGGATACTAACTTAATATTTTGGCATTTGAATATTTTGTTAAATGATTTTATTTAGTTTGTTACAAATATGAAAAATTAGAAATTTAAAATATAATTAAACTTAAATTTATTTTATTATTGGGTTAATTCTAAAATTAACCAAATTAATAAAATTAAATTCGGTCATTTGGATTTTCAAAATTAATAAATTCAATTCAATTAATAAAAATAGAATAATTTAATTTAATTAATTTAGTTTTGAGTAATTCATTTCAAAATTAAATAAAATAACCGAATGAATAGCCTAGTCATTAGGTTTTATATTCTTTTGTAAAAAGATAAATAAATAAATAAATAAACTTAAACACATGAGAATACAATAAGCAAAGTTAAAAAACTGATATTCATGTCTTAGTTAAATAAATAACCTCGCACCAATTTTATCAAGATGCTTGATAACCTTTATCAATTAAACAAACTTTTCATTGATAAATATATGATATCTATAATCTATAACAACAACAACAACAACAACAACAATAATAATAATAATAATAATAATAATAATAATAATAATAATAATAATGATGATGATGATGATAATAATAATAACATAATCTATAACAATATATAAAAGCAATCCCCATTATCTATTGTAGGAACAAATTAGTAATGTCCAAAAAATTAATTTAAGGGGTATTTTTGGATTCTTAATCTAATTTTAAGAATTAAAAGGAGATTTTATTATTTGCTAAGGATACTTGGCTGAAAGAAAAATAAAAAAAAAATAGAGAAGGGAAGAGTCTAAAAAAAGGATAAAGTTTTAGTTGAAAAAAAAAGGGGCAAGGGTCTAGAAAATGGATAAATTTAAACAAAACAACATATCGATTAGACGATTGGGAAAAAGAGATAATGAGGGAAGGATTTTCTTTTTTTAAGCTTAAAAGAGATTGAATTAGAATGGGTACCAAGAATTTTCCTAAAAAGAGATAGTAACTTTTTTTGAGATACATGATTTGAAAAAAAGCCAAAGAAAGAGATAGGGAAAGGAAAAGGAAAAAAAGGGGAGATAGTTTGATGTCTAACAAGAAGGGGAAGCATGGTGGAGAAAGAGAAAAGAAAAGGGAAATTAGAAGAGGGGGAGATAGTTTGATGTCTAATGAGAAGATGAGGCATGGTGGAGAAAGAGAAAAGAAAAGGGAAAATAGAGCATGGTGTTGCATCGATCAATGTTCTACGATACTGAAATCAACCCGACTTCATTCTTTCCATTAAAAAGTATTTTGCTTTTTTTTTTACATTTTTATTAATTTTGGGATTTAAAATTTTGCATGATTGATAAAGGTATGTGTAGCATAGCTTGGTTGTTTTGTTGGTCATACCTAAATAACTCAGTGTTTAATAAAGGTGAGGCAAAGTTTCAAATATAGGTATATGATGGCCCTGTCTACATATCAATAGTTATCCATTTTTTGACTTTACGTTATGGCATGTAATAGATCTATATGGTTTTCAAGCTAAAAATATTAAGATGCAAGGTGATCAAAAGATAAAATTTTATACAGCTCCTTTTGGTCCACTATATATTTATTTGCCTTGCTTTGTTTAAGTTTATCAATTTTACCTTTTTTCCTCTGCCTTCTAATAGACTTGGGCAATACCTCTTTCTAGCTTTTATGTGTGCTTGGTGAAATTTAATCTTTCTCATAATTATTTACTTTTACTTGCTTGTCGTGTTAAAGTTAATCACCATAGAATCTGATTGTGGCATAAATTTTCATATGTACAGCACTTTAAAGTGGACTACTATGGCCTTTTACCATAATTGTGGAGTGTCTTTTAATAGGGTGGAAACACCCTTCATATGTAATTGGTAGGTATGGAGCCCTTTCATATTTTATTTGTTTGACAATTGAGTCATTCACTATGCTTAAGGCTTCTACATGCATGTGCATCTCAACTATGTAGTGCATCCACCTTCTGCATCATAAATAAAATGCCTTTCTTTTACATTCACAAATTTTGAAACATTCCTACCATTTTAAGCTCTCATGTCTTGCATACATGAAGTTTCACCTTTGAATATTGTGGTTAACAAGAAGAATTAAATTTAGACAATTGAGTTTCCTAGAGTACTGCATCACATATATGTTGGTATTTGCCCTTCAAGTCAAAACATATTTTGGCTAAGATATTGTCATATTGGTAATACTTTGATATTTGATATCTTATGAAGGTCTTATTTCTTTATTATTGAGATTATATGCGTATATTTCAATGTTGATACTTATATGATAAAGTCCTCAAAATATAAATAAAGCTTTGTAAAGGAATTATAATGAGATTGTAATTATATGATCACCATTGCATTAAAGCTATATGTTCCAAAATTATTTCTAATATATGCTTTATCAATAAAATGACATTGACAAAAGCTATTGAGACTAACACGTGGTTATGTTCTTACTTATGAAGCTAGCAATCGATCTCAAAGGTTGAAGTTTTGGGTAAATTTGAGCTAACATATGACCATTTGTTACAAGAAAAAGTTCACTAAACATAATCTGATATGAGAATGCTATATGATAGTTCACATAGTGTCTATAACTACATTTTCATATGATGGTTGTATATATGATACTTTGACTTGAGATTACTTATGATCTTATATGATGAATGTTATAATTTGACTTTACTTATTGTTATAACCAAAAATACTCTAGTCAAGTATTGTTGGGTATAACATGAGGCATATGAAGATGCATAAAATAATCAAGATAAGATTCATCACATTATGTGATCAAAAAAGTATCTTAACTAGTATCGATTGAATTAATTCAAGAAATCTTTGGTCAAAGTAAAATAAGAGTTTAGAATTATTCAAAACCTTATTTGTGAGTTAATGTCAAGGACAAGACTTAACATGGTTGAACAAGATTGAGTAGACACTAAACTATATTTAATGTTCAAATCGAGATACTATGTGATGAAAGGATAATAATGTTCAAATGGATAGGTTGTCTAGCCATATTCATTTTTCTTTAGCAATTTAGGGTCATGGAAAAGAAGCTAGCATTGATCACAATCTATAAACATAAGATTAGCTAATTGGAGAATTGGTGATGTAGACAAAAAGTTTATTTCATCCATAGCTAAATACTAAGGCTTACAATGCTTGTGTTTATTGCCAACATGCTAAAGAACCTAATTAATATTAGGACAAATTAAGTTAGACTTAATTTGATTTTGGTATGACCAAAAATAGAGAAAATAAAAAGAAGAGGAAAGTTTCTCTTGTTTGATACATTCAACTAGCATAGGGTTAATTGTGAAAATTTGCATTTCATGTATTAAACCTAATGTGGCCAAAGGCTTCCTTTATAAAAAGAACATCAGGCCACCCCTTCTTGTGTGGAAAATAGAGAAAAAAGAAGAACCACCTAAGAAGAAAAGTTTCACTCAAGAAAATATAAGAGATGAAGTCTTGAAAACACTTACTAGATATAGTGTGGCTTTGAATTCACCAAATCTTAGAGAAGGTTCTTTTATAAGAGTTTATGCGGATCACCATTAGAGGCTAAACACTTGAATAGCTTCTTGGATTGGAATCTATTTGGAAGATCACTAAATTGAACTAAGAGATTTTAGGCATTCAAGGTAACACCTTAGCCAAAACTATGAATGCTTACATATATATGTTGTTTATATAATCTTATTGATTGATCTTGGCTTTAGAGAATTACAATTTTTTAAAACTTTTGCACCTTTAACTCTAATAATGATAAATAATTCCCTTCAATTGGTATCAGAGCCTTGTCAATATAGATTATACAAATTAGAAATTTGTTTGGTTGTTTATGATATCAAAGCTATTTTGATTGCAATTTGTTAAGATGTAGAGATTAGAAATTTAATTTTTTTTCTATTTTTTTTATTGAATTCTTTTAGAATATCAAAGCATGATGTCTTAGAA